TTTATTTATTTTTATAATTGTAATTTAGTTTGTGTTCTTATTCTTCCAGAATATGAGGGATCAGGAACAGATTCGGGCAAGAAAGTCACAAAATGCAGTAACTGCAAGTACGGCGCAGAATGTGACGAAGACGCCGAGGACGAGGACTCGTACGTGCTGCGTTCATTTCTCTATGATTTCTGCTTATGTTGTCTGGACACTTTTAGCAGAGTAGCCAGGAGTTGCTAATTAAAGAGTCCTGTTCTACTTCATGCCAGCTCTTAAAGTAATGAACGTATGAAGTTGTTTTTTCTTTTTCTTCAATATTGGAAACTGCCATTGTGTATAATATAAAAGCATGAAATTGGAAAGAATTCAGCTCTATCAAAGCCGAGGAAATAACATTACTCCCATGAGACACTTGGACATTGTAAAACTTTTTTTGTATCAAACGTTTTTTTTTCTGCCTGGTTCGTTTTACTTTTTGCATTTTCATGCCAAGCGCTAATGAACACTGTGGACTAACTCCAGGAGCCACATGAGATCCAGGGAGCCCAGGGAAACATATCCCTGTGTCAGCTCTTAAACCCTAATCAGTGTACAGTTCATGAACCAGCAGGGGGAGACGACAGGACACACAGAAGCGTGTTTCAGTGTGTGAGAATTACAACTGATCAAAAGAGCACACATTTGTTCCCTGTTGAAAATGGTGATGAAAATGGTTTTAATGGTCTTATTAAATGAAAATAACCCTGATAGATGACATTCAGTGCTTCATCAAAAGCATTTGATACTAGGTGAAGAGCTTTTTGTTCCAGCAAAATGTTTGTTTATGCCTTTGAATAATTCACAGCACGAATGAGACTCACTGCATTTAAATCGGCCTGTTGTTGCAGCTGTTCGTGTAAAATCGACTGCAGTGGACACAACGAGAATCCAGTGTGCGGCACGGACGGAAACTCCTACCACAACCCCTGCCTGGTGCGAGAGGCGTCCTGTATGAAGCAGGAACAGATCGATGTGAAACATTTAGGGAGATGCCCAGGTCAGATAGTAACAGCACTGCAGCTTATACATTAAGACAAACAGTCTCAGATTACTCACTATTTTATCCATAGTTCCTTTAATTGCTTTATGTGAAGTTTTGAATGCTAGTTTGTCTACCAGAGCCAATCCGTGTTTGTTTTTTCATCACTCAGATAAAGACAAAGCTAAGAAAACTGAAGCTGGACTTCCCTACAAGCCAGAACTTACTGGTCAGTGCATTTCTAATCTTCATCTCTAATTTGACTTTATATTTCATTATGGAGACTGTAAAAAAAACATTGTTGGTTCAACTTAAAAAATGAAGTTGATTGAACTGGAAAAAGAGAGTTAATACAATGAAGGAGATTGATTTAATCATCAGAAACTCAAAATAATAAGTTATCTGAACTAAATAAATTATTTAAGTTGATTTGACAAAAGAAAAAATGTTGTGATAACAAATCTTGAATATATATATATTTTTAAATTCTTTATCCATTTTGTACTGATTGTATAGTGAAATGTGTCTCTATATGACATGCTTGGACGGGTATTATAGTATATTTTTTAAAAAGTGTCTTATGCTCATCAAGGCTGCATTTATTTTGTATTGAGAAATCCAGTAACACTATTGAAACATTGTTACCATTTTAAATAACTTTTTTTCTGTTTGAAAAATGTCTTAAAATGTTATTTATTCCTGTGATCAAAGCTGAATTTACAGCATCATTACTCCAGTCTTCAGTGTCACATGATCCTTCAGAAATCATTCTAATATGCGGATTTTCTGCATTTCTTATGTTGAAAACAGATTTCTAATCATTATCTATGTTGAAACAGTTGTGCTGCTTCATTTCAGGAGCCTTTTTCAGGATTCTTTGATGAATAGAAAGTTCCCAAGAACAGCATTTATTTATTTTTTGTATCATTTTAATGTTTTTAATGTCACTTTTGATTAAATTAATGCGTCAAAAAGCATACTGACCCCAAACCTTTAAATGGTATACCTGTGAGCTGTTCCCAATAAGTAATATAATATCGACCAAAAACGATCAGTCAACATATATGTAGTCAACATATTTTAAGTCAGTTCAGTTTATCAAAATTCCCTTATTAAAAACTCACTTACTGGGCATTTTTGGACTTGTGCTGTCAAATCTAGAATCATGGCTGTTTGTAATGTAGCTTTTTAACTGTGCTGTGAAGTAAAATGTCACATACCCTTCATAAATTGCACTGTTCAGCTATACAGTATAGTTCTGTATAATTGAGTTTAAACAAAGCTAAATCTGGGAGTTAAATATGATACTTTCAGAAATAGAGAGGTAAAAGTAGATCGTTCTATTTTAGACCCAGCTAAAGCCGGTGATGGGAAAGGATACGGCTGGATGCCCGTTCCCTGCACAGATGACTACGCCAACTTCTGCGTCCATGGCCAGTGTGAATTTAATTACGGCATCGCCTCCTGCCGGTGAGCGTCTGGTGTTTGGGTGCACAGAACTGTGTTCATCCTTTCAGGTGTTCATTAAAAATGACATTTGTTGGAAAACGAGTTTCCGATGGTTTCTTGTATTTCCACAGGTGTGATTCGGGTTACACGGGGACACAGTGTGAGGAGATCGCCGACTTTAACATCCTGTATGTGGTACCCAGTGGCCAGAAACTTCATTATGTGCTTATAGCTGCTATCATTGGAGCCGTGCAGATCGCCATTATTGTGGCAGTGGTCATGTGTATTACCAGGTGAGTGCTGGAAGAAACTAACAAGGGGCTACAATAGCATTTGGTAGAGAAAAATGGAAATTTTCACATCTTCCAAAAGCATGCATTAACGCACTTACTTAATATTGAGAGTTCGATTTACCCCAAATAATGCTCATATTGTAATATTGAGAGTTCGATTTACCCCAAATAATGCTCATATCGTAATTAGGGCTATTAGTTAAACGCGTTATTAAAGGCGTTAACGCAAACCCATTTTAACGGCGTTAATTTTTTATCGCGCGATTAACAGTCTTTTTGGCCTAGCTAACTTTGTAGTGTTTTCCACATGCTTTGGCAACAGGACGCAGCATGCACTGCGCTATGAAATGGGCCGCGCAATGTTTTGAAAGCGCAAGTGGATCTAGCTAGACCGGGAACAAAACAACAGGCCGTATATGCCAATGTTGTTTTCAATAAAAAAAAACATTTGCTCAAAGCAAGCTGATCCACTTTTCCACGTTGATTAGAGGATTAAAATGAGAAAAAAGAATGGTGTTAATTAATCGTGAGTTAAATATGGCATTAATGCGATTAATCGCAATTAAATATTTTAATCGTTTGACAGCATTAATCATAATATAATTTTGTATTTTACAGGAAATGTCCTAAGAATAATCGTGGAAGACGGCAAAAGCAGAACTTTTCATCAAACACCGCTTCGAGGATGATGTAGCTTGTTTTTATTTTATTTTTTTATACTTTTTGTACCAAGTGGATTACAGTTTTAATGTGCTTTTTTGTTTTGTGATTTCTTAACTCTGGACAATAAGGTTATTTTTTTATTTCATTTCATTATTTTCTTGGATGGTGCCTTATTATTTTTTTCTTTTCAGGACATTTTAGGTACTTAATGTCAGTGGCAAACACTGTCAAATGAATGATAAAAGCCAGCTCTTTTTTGTCGAGTTTTTGATTTTTTTTTCCTTTAAGTTGTGGTGCCAGTTTTATTTTTATTTTACGTATTGTTAGATGTAACTCTCGGCACACAAACTGTACCACAAAAACAGACGTCGTCAATTTTCATGGAATGTTCTTCTTTACTGAAAATATTAACCGTCTTTAACTGCCCTCTTTGATTTGATTTTTATTTTCTCGAATGGAACATAGCTGAACACCAAATTTAATTGGACATGAACAAGTACGCCGACGAAGTGATGACGTTTACAGTTTCTTTTGAAGGGAATTCCAGAGAATGAAATGCAATGTGTTTGACTAGCTAATCTTATCAATGTTGAAATGTTTGTAGTTTTTATGTTCTAATGTTATCGGTGTTGTTAATGTTGAAATGGACATTATTGACATTAATTTAATTCTATGAACTGCATATCGCATGACCTGTGAAACTGTGTCCAGTGCTGTAGATTTAATAAAATTTAATTCTCAGTCTTACAGATATTTTTATTGCCTGTACACTTACACACAGTGTAAAGTTCGTTGGTAAACCTTGAGTCATTCGGATGTGGCTTGTCCTAAGTAATACGATCTCTCAGAGTAATCTAATTATAGGAATGCATTTCATGTAATTTGACCAGTTAAAATCATTAGCATCAAAATGTCTTAAAGGGATAGTCCGCCCAAAATCATTTAATAATTTCATGTGGTTCCAAAACTGTAGCGACTTAAGTTCTAATGTGGAACTTGAAAATATTTATATGGACAAAAAAAAAACGTGTCCAACGGATGAAAGTAAGTCATACCGGTTTAGATCAACATGAGTAAATTATTTTTGGGTGAACTATCCCTTTAAGAGTGACATCTTGGGTTATCGAATTATTAAATTAACAGAGCAGCTTGATCTGATCGCAAAAGTTTGACTCTTTGCTCACATGAAATTTTGTATGTAAGAAAGTTTTTACACTAAGGAGAATTAAGCACGCCATGGTCAGCTACGACATGAGTGAGTAATTCTAGGCGGCCCAGGGTTTAAGAATAGACTGCAGCTGGTGGCATCATTTCACAAGTTTGTGCAGTCCCATCTTGAGGTGGATCATCTTCCCCAGGTTGCAACATGGCAGTCAAGTCATGCTTGAGCCCGAACTTAAAGCATTGTGGATTTGGTTGTAAGCAAACTGCACCCTGTGAGTGGAGTTGTGAAGTTTCTCAAATTTGTTCATTGCAAAGCTGGAACCCTTTGCCCAAAAGTAAGACAATCAATTGTCTATTGTTGGTAGAATGTATTGTTTGTGCTATTCTTTGACTGTATCATTCGTTTTTCTTTGAGGTAACTCATCTCCATGTAAAAAAAAATGGTGTGGTCAAGAATCAAGGGGGTTTCCATTATCTCAGCTGTACACGCATCTTCTAAAAACGACGAGGTGTCAGCTTACTGTGGATATTTATAACGCTGAATTCATGGTGAATTGGTTTGATGCCCCCTTCCAATCCCTCTGCGCTCTATTGCAGTTGTGTCTGGCCTTTGAACCTTGTGTTCCCTATATACAAGAAGGGAGGAGCTTCTATATTCTCCAGAACGTTAATGAAGCTCCAGTTAGAGGGCGAGTCTGTCTCATCCGAGAGTCTTCCAGGGCCCACCACGGCCCCAAACGATAACCCAACACCCTCCTGTGCACCAACAGAAAATACACCAAAGCAGGACCTGAGACCTTCTGCAGTTCTAGTCTAGGGTCCTCACTGTGTTACAAGGACAAGCATGGCTGACAAACTGGGACTGGCAGGTGTGGTGGAAGAGCCCAGCGCCCTGAACATCTTCTCTCTGCTGGAGAGGGTGTCCGGGATCATAGACAATGTGCAGGCGTGCCAGCAGCGCATGGAGGAGAGGCAGCTGGAGCTGGAGAACGCCGTGAAGACCATCCAGACAGATGTGGTGAAGCTGACGAAGGAGCACACGGCAACGAGTGGCGCTGTGGAGAAACTTCTGGAGAAAACGCGCAAGGTCAGCTGCCACATCAAGGATGTCCGTGTGCGGGTGGAGAAGCAGAACGTACGTGTCAAGAAGGTGGAGGAAACCCAAGTCGAGCTGCTGAACAAGAACAAGTTCCGTGTCGTTATCTACCAGGTAAGGCTAAATGATCTCGTTGCTTTTTGTGGCATGTTTTCTTCGGACTGGGTTTTAATGGGTTCCATTTGGAGTTTGGATTAGGCGGGTCTAATTTTGGAAATGTACAGACTTAGAATTGTGGATCGGTTTCTTGGGATCATGGTTGAAACACCTTGCATCGATTAACTACAACATTTCAAACTTATGGAATTGGCCCATAGACAGTTTATTATGAGATACATGGTCTTGCATGATCCAAGATAAATCACGATACACTAGAAGGTCATGTGGCCTACAGCCAACAGCAACACAGTAGGAATGTTCTGCCCAGGCCCCACTGAGAGGATTAGGTTGGCGGCCATTTTATCTGATATGTGGCAGGATGTCTGGAGTATTAAGCAAATAAACCATGTAATGTGATCCATGAAAGAGTAAAAAATGAATTAATATTCACTCTTGAATGTTTTAGAGACTGAACTATGAAGCCTTATTTGGAATATTCCTGTGGATGTAAATGAGGCTAGAGGTCTGAAATGAGATTAAGATCGATTACAGAAATTATGACATCAGAGAGGAACGTTTCATTGCTAAATCTGGAAATATTGTTTCATCCGCAATGGATGTTGCATTTATAGCTTGAGAATCATTTGGCCTAGCTTGTATTTGGACAGTTCAATTCCTGTGTACAAAAGCAAGGTAGGCTACTGTACCAATCAAATAAAATTCTATTTATCCTGTCTATTTTTTATAAAGCAGTGTCATACTTATGGGACCATTAGGCCTAAAAAAACAAAACAAAAAAAACAATACAAATGTATTTATTGCTGTCTACATCTTTTGAATATTTATTATAGGAAATGTTCTTTTTTCAAATGTTCATTTGCCACAGAGATTTTTTCATCATAGAGAAACAGAAGGGCTGCTCATGTATGTAGATTAACTTATATTTTCGTTCTCGAACAATACTTGTAATTAGGCTCCTGTCCATCGTCTCTTGTACAATGATCAGAACAGCTGACAGATTTGTTCGGAGTTATTCTGAGAGCTGCACTGAAGCTCATGTCCTAATATAGTGTTTTCGCCTCTGACCGAGTCATGGTTAAAAAAGCTGCAGACAGAGTGATTTATAACGATTGAAAAATCGCAGTTTGTAATCAAGTGTTTTTCTTAGGCTATAAGAATGCGCATTTTGTTTTGCGACTCGTTATCAGAAGTGTACCCACGTAAAGCAGGGTTCAACCTTAACCCCCTCAGACCTGAATTATGTTTCAGGTTTCTGAAAAATATAAAAGTACATTTATATTTATATCAAGGTCAAAAAAATTCCAGCAGTATACCATTTCAACTATAATTTTGAGGTTTTTGTTTTACAGATTGCACATTGTTTGTTACAAACTAAACATATTCGAATCAATCAATCTGGTCATATTAGAGTCATTTTCTGTGTGCATCTTTCTTTTTTTAGAACAAAAACTTGAACATTATAACATTACAACTTTAATTGTAAGGTTTTTCCTTTATATATTGCACATTTGTTTATTCATAACAAAATAAATCTAGGAATCTATCAATGCATTCATGTTAGTCATTTCCTGTGTGCATCCTGTGTTCTTGTATTTTTACAGTACTGGCAGGACGGTTGCCAGCAAGTCACTGTATTTCGATTTCCAGTAACTCTAGCTAGTCCTTTCCGTCCTTGGGCCGCAGGCAAACGGACGTGGGTTGGCGGACGAACGTGCCAGCCCCCCGAAATTTTTTTTTTCGGGAGGGGCAAAATTTTGAGTTTTTCCAATCTTCTCAAAACTCTGGATTCTGATAGAGGGCCATGAGACTTAGACCTGAGTGCAAAAATGGAGTCTCTAGACCCTTCCTGAGCTGAGATATTGAGATCCCACATAGCATTTGTGCCATTATAAAAATAGTGGGTTATTGGACAAATAGGGGGTTTGTGGACACGTGGTTTTTAAGCTTAGCTTTAAAAATTTTGGGATAAACCATTTTACTGCACACTGGGAGAACCCCTGAGTCTGTGGCACCAAGGGCCGTCAGAGAAACTCAACATCAGAGAAACTCAAAATTTCGCCCCCCCCCCAAAAAAACGACAGTGTTACCCCTTTTGTTTTTTTTTCGGGGGGCGAAATTTTGAGTTTCTCTGATCTTCTTGAAACTCTGGATTCTGATAGAGGGCCATGAGACTTAGACCTGAGCGCAAAAATGGAGTCTCTAGACCCTTCCAGAGCTGAGATATTGAGATCCCACGTAGCACTTATCCCATTATAAAAACAGTGGGTTCGCGGACGGTGGAATTTCGGGACGGACTCAGGGGGCCTCCCAGAGTGCAGTAAAATGGTTTATCCCAAAATTTTGAAAGCTAAGCTTAAAAACCATGTGTCCACAAACCCCCTATTTGTCCAATAACCCACTATTTTTATAATGGCATACATGCTACGTGGGATCTCAATATCTCAGCTCGGGAAGGGTCTAGAAACTCAATTTTTGCACTCAGGTATAAGTCTCATGGCCCTCTATCAGAATCCAGAGTTTTAAGAAGATTGGAGAAACTTCATTTTTCGACCCCCCAAAAAACCGAAAGGGGTACCACTGTCGTTTTTTTTTTTGGGTCGAAATTTTAAGTTTTGATATCTCAGCTCTGGAAGGGTCTAGAGCCTCCATTTTTGCACTCAGGTCTAAGTCTCATGGCCCTCTATCAGAATCCAGAGTTTTGAGAAGATTGGAGAAACTTTATTTTTCGCCCGAAAAAAAAAAATGAAAGGGGTACCACTGTCGTTTTTTTTCGGATCGAAATTTTGAGTTTCGATATCTCAGCTCAGGAAGGGTCTAGAGACTCCATTTTTGCACTCAGGTCTAAGTCTCATGGCCCTCTATCAGAATCCAGAGTTTTGAGAAGATTGGAGGAACTTCATTTTTCGCCCGAAAAAAAAAAAAACGAAAGGGGTACCACTGTCGTTTTTTTTCGGATCGAAATTTTGAGTTTCGATATCTCAGCTCTGGAAGGGTCTAGAACCTCCATTTTTGCACTCAGGGTTAAGGCTCATGGCCCTCTATCAGAATCCAGAGTTTTAAGAAGATTGGAGAAACTTTATTTTTCGCCCAAAAAAAAAAAAACGAAAGGGGTACCACTGTCGTTTTTTTTTCGGGTCGAAATTTTGAGTTTCGATATCTCAGGTCTGGAAGGGTCTAGAGTCTCCATTTTTGCACTCAGGTCTAAGTCTCATGGCCCTCTATCAGAATCCAGAGTTTTGAGAAGATTGGAGAAACTTCATTTTTCGCCCGAAAAAAAAAAAAACGAAAGGGGTAACACTGTCGTTTTTTTTCGGGTCGAAATTTTGAGTTTCGATATCTCAGCTCTGGAAGGGTCTAGAGCCTCCATTTTTGCACTCAGGTCTAAGTCTCATGGCCCTCTATCAGAATCCAGAGTTTTGAGAAGATTGGAGAAACTTCATTTTTCGCCCGAAAAAAAACACGAAAGGGGTAACACTGTCGTTTTTTTTTCGGGTCGAAATTTTGAGTTTCGATATCTCAGCTCTGGAAGGGTCTAGAGCCTCCATTTTTGCACTCGGGTCAAAGTCTCACGGCCCTCTATCATAATCCAGAGTTTTGAGAAGATTGGAGAAACTCAATTTTTCGCCCGAAAAAAAAAAAAAAACGTAAGGGGTAACACTGTCGTTTTTTTTCGGGTCCAAATTTTGAGTTTCGATATCTCAGCTCTGGAAGGGTCTAGAGCCTCCATTTTTGCACTCAGGTCAAAGTCTCACAGCCCTCTATCATAATCCAGAGTTTTGAGAAGATTGGAGAAACTCAATTTTTCGCCCGAAAATGAAAAAAAACGTAAGGGGTAACACTGTCGTTTTTTTTTTCGGGTCGAAATTTTGAGTTTCGATATCTCAGCTCTGGAAGGGTCTAGAGCCTCCATTTTTGCACTCGGGTCAAAGTCTCACAGCCCTCTATCATAATCCAGAGTTTTGAGAAGATTGGAGAAACTCAATTTTTCGCCCGAAAATGAAAAAAAACGTAAGGGGTAACACTGTCGTTTTTTTTTCGGGTCCAAATTTTGAGTTTCGATATCTCAGCTCTGGAAGGGTCTAGAGCCTCCATTTTTGCACTCGGGTCAAAGTCTCACAGCCCTCTATCATAATCCAGAGTTTTGAGAAGATCGGAGAAACTCAATTTTTCGCCCGAAAATGAAAAAAAACGTAAGGGGTAACACTGTCGTTTTTTTTTCGGGTCCAAATTTTGAGTTTCGATATCTCAGCTCTGGAAGGGTCTAGAGCCTCCATTTTTGCACTCGGGTCAAAGTCTCACAGCCCTCTATCATAATCCAGAGTTTTGAGAAGATCGGAGAAACTCAATTTTTCGCCCGAAAATGAAAAAAAACGTAAGGGGTAACACTGTCGTTTTTTTTTCGGGTCCAAATTTTGAGTTTCGATATCTCAGCTCTGGAAGGGTCTAGAGCCTCCATTTTTGCACTCGGGTCAAAGTCTCACAGCCCTCTATCATAATCCAGAGTTTTGAGAAGATCGGAGAAACTCAATTTTTCGCCCGAAAATGAAAAAAAACGTAAGGGGTAACACTGTCGTTTTTTTTTCGGGTCCAAATTTTGAGTTTCGATATCTCAGCTCTGGAAGGGTCTAGAGCCTCCATTTTTGCACTCGGGTCAAAGTCTCACAGCCCTCTATCATAATCCAGAGTTTTGAGAAGATCGGAGAAACTCAATTTTTCGCCCGAAAATGAAAAAAAACGTAAGGGGTAACACTGTCGTTTTTTTTTCGGGTCCAAATTTTGAGTTTCGATATCTCAGCTCTGGAAGGGTCTAGAGCCTCCATTTTTGCACTCGGGTCAAAGTCTCACAGCCCTCTATCATAATCCAGAGTTTTGAGAAGATCGGAGAAACTCAATTTTTCGCCCGAAAATGAAAAAAAACGTAAGGGGTAACACTGTCGTTTTTTTTTCGGGTCCAAATTTTGAGTTTCGATATCTCAGCTCTGGAAGGGTCTAGA